CGGCAGTGGGCATCAGAATCACTGAGTTATTTGTTCAAAGCTCAAAATTAGAATTTTTAGGAGGGTGCTTGTGAGTGTACAATTTAATGAACATCCTCAAGGAATTCTGATGCAGGTGATCTGAGGACCGCATTTTGAGAAACTCTCTTAAGAAAGGAGGTCACCAGGTAAGTGATAGCTCCCAGGGAAATCTGCACCCCTTGGGGTCCTGCAGTCTCTCTGTCTCGTATTACCTGACCATGTTTTGCCCTCACTGCTTTGGCATTCAACGAGCTGACGCGGATGTGGTTCTCTTTACACAGAAAGCCTTCTGGTCCCCAGAGTCTGGGATTACAGAATTCAGGTCTATGACACCTATAATAAAAAGCAAACTTAAGATCCCAAGGAGGCTCCAACACCGAGCTAAACCAGTGGGACTGTGCACACACTCAGACTCCAAGGAAGACCAAGTCTGCATCATGACTGACAGCAAATTCACCCTTGCCAGAAAGCAGCCCAGGCTTCCAAGTGAGCCACTTATTCAACTAGAAGACTCTCTGCCTTGGGGTCTCTCTCACCAAACAGACACCCGATGAAGAGGAGGAATGGCCTCAGCAGAGGTTTTCACTGGAATCATGTGTGATAATACTGAGTAGGCATCTGGGCCAAACTCACATCCTCCGTGTCTCAACCTTTCATCTCTATCGGCCCTGCGGCCTGAGGCCTCCTGATAACAGGACTGGATCCACCCCTTTTCACATAATTACACATTTGGTGTTCCTGCTCAGCCTGGGACAGGGTAAGCAACAGGTCCAGGACTAGGGTGAGGGGAAAGAGAGGCACCTCGGGTACAAATTTAAGGGGGCACTCACTCTCAGGGTCGCACAAGTGTGTGCGGGCGGCTCACTTGCCTCACCCCAAACTTCAGCAGAGCAAGGGGTAACTGACGAAGTAACAAAGGTGGGGTCTTGGGAACCAAGACTCAGAGAAGTGACTGTTGTCCCCAAATATGAGAAAAGTCTTCCTGTGACAGATGGAGTAGATTTAGTCCATGTTATTCCAGAAGACAAACTTTGGGCCAGTAAGTGGAATTTACTAGGAAGCTAATTTCAGCTTTAAAAAAAAAATGCTACTGTTATAACATTGGCTGATATTTATAGAGCACTGCATGAAGGGCATTACACAACAATGTCATCAATCCTCACAACTCTGAGAATTAACCTTATCATCACCACCATGCAGATGAGGAAAACGAGAATTAGAGATGCCAAGTAAATGGTCTGAAGTCACAATTTCTAAATGGCAGGGCAGGGCTGGGAATCACACCCGGGGCTGTCTGCTTTGAAGTCCAGGCTCTTCACTACAACACTAAGTTACTTTCTATGAAATATGTAAAAATTGGACCGAGATATTATATTGAAGCAAAATGCCTATGAGCAACTCTTAGTGATATTATGGGGAAAAAAAAAAAAAAAAAAAAAAAAAAGACCTCATAAGGGACGTTAGAACAGTTCCCCCAAACCAGTGTGGCAGGAGGGGTTTGCAGTGTGCTAAGATATTGCTATCTTCAGCTCCTGAGGCCACCAGCCTGGGGCATCAAGAGTCGCCAGGCTGGTCTCTGGTTATCCCACTGAAGCATATGAATATTATCAGTGCCCACGGGTGCCACAATAGGAGAAAGGTTAGGAAGCACTGTAAGACTAAGAGGACTTGTATTTCTACCTCATTAACATTACTATGCAGTTAGGTTCCTAATCCTTAACCCCGGCCACAGGGCAGAATCGCCTGGGGGCACTTTTAAAAACTACTGATGCCCAAGCCTCACTCCAGCCTATTATATCAGAATCTATGGGGAGGAGGGATGGGACCCAGGCATAGAGGCGACCCGAATATACTGCTCTAAATGACAGTGCTCAGCAGAAGTAGAAGAAAATTACGTGATGTATAAAAAGTTGGCTTTGCCGCAAAGCAGATTACTAGCTATAACGCAGGAGTTCTATCATAGTAATCTGGATAAATTGCATGAAGGAATCTAACCTCCTCAAGTTTTTAAGCAAACTATAAATCTTGCTCGACTGTTACTTTTTAGACCAACAGGGCTTTGAAGGTCATGTCTGTTGAAAAACCAGTTTGGTGGTGCACGCTCAAGTCCTTTTTGGTGGATTACAGTAACTGCCAAAGAATTCTGAAGCGAGAAGAATTAGCTACCACTGCACAACCTTGCTACGAGCTACAAAGAAAGCAGGTCTCAGACTAGGTTCTGCACCAGCACTTATTAAATAAACATACATTAGCGAGGCAGGCAAAAACAGTTTGCCAACCCGTTCCGTGAGCTCAATGAAGTCCCAACTCTATGTCCTTTTGAGTTCAATACACCTTGTATGAAAGGCTCACTGGAGGCAGACAGTGACATTCCCTGGCAGAATGCTGTGCCATGGGGGAGGGGCGTGCAGTCAGAATCCACCTGAACCAAGGACTGGACACTGCACTGATCTGAGATCGAGTCTCAGGTACCATCCTATCGCTAACTAAGTTATACACCTAGTACATTCTTATCGCCTGTTCTTGCATGAGGAGCAAGAAAGCGTCTCTAAACTATTTTAGCCAATCTACATGTTTAGAATACCCACAGTTCCACCAAGGAGATCCCATTTCTAACACTTATTATGCTAATTTAAGAGTTACTCATTTTACCAATAAAACTCATTTTTGACATTCAGAATGCTAAATGGCAAAACCTCTGTTGTTGTAGAGAAATAGATCTGAAGAATTTTTACTGGCTGGGAGTATGGCCCTAATACTAGCTGGCCACTCAGCTAGTACTCTTGACAGCATGTTAGCTGACCAACTACCCTTAGAAGTAAAATTTGAACTGCACGTCTATTATGTCACTCTGATTATCACGTAAATTACAGCCATTCTAGCCCTGACATTGTGTAGCGCAAGGCCCATTTAATACTAAGTATATTGGGCCTTATGTATGCGAAAATATTTCTTGGTGGCTAATGGAAAACAGAAACTAGGTGTATATGAAGTTACCTGGTTTATTTGGAAGATGCTGATACTAACAGTGTTTCCAACACATGGTCTGTGATCGAATTCTTTCAAATGACCTCGTACTAACCAGCCTCTTGCTACCCCCAGGGCTGCTGTAGAACCAGGCCTGGGCTAACACCAATGAAGTTCCCAGGGATAAATGACAAAGAATAAAGGGCTTTTCTGACACCTATTGATATTTGGTGTACACCAAATATTTGGCACTTAATACTTGCATCTGTAACTTCTCTACTTTAAGGAAGTTAGATTGATGTTCTTAGTGTTGTCTTTAATTTTTTTTTTTTTTTGGTGCCGTTATAAAGTCTACTTGTGTACACTTTAGTGCATTGCCAATGGGAGAACGTTTCTGTATTATTTTACATTTTTGTCTTCTGAAAGCAAATCCATATTTTTACCACTTCCAAGAAGCAGAAGTTCAATTTTTCAGATTTTTTAAACCAATATTTACTGAGGAAACACTGTAAATAAAGCCACACACAGATCCAAATGGATGACAAAACAAAAAATAAAAAAACCCTTGACAGACACTAAGCAAATGTCAGAGTACATATCAAACAGAAGAAGAAGGGCAGAGGAACAGAACCACCAGTGACTTTTTAGCAAGCCATAATGTCACAGTCTCTCTTTAGAAATTGCCTTTCAATAACTTCCCCAACTATTTTCAGACATAAAGTAAAAATAGAAACCAGCACTTAACTCTAAAACATGCTATCATGTGGACAAAAGTTATATGCAGCAGCAGAGAAAAATGAAACTTGTCGTTCTTATTGTTGGTAATAAGTGGGTGCAAATGTATCAGGCACATTTTTATGGGAAGCAGCAGGGTTTTCAGGGTCAACTCCAGGAGACCTTATCCCTTTCCTGTGGTAAACAATGGCGGCATCATTCAGGCCAGCTAAATCTCCCAAGGCCTCATTATGACTAAAGAAGTCCTACTTAAGGAGGCAAGTTCAGGATCTGGTGGGGAGCAGAGTCCTGTATTGCCACTTCTCTGTCAGGGTCTACCATGGACCTTGTGTTACAAGAGCAAATCACTTCGATTTCTCGCTGGGTTTTTATACGCGCCACTTAGAGCTATTCTGGATAGAGAGGCATGGACCATGAGGAAAGCAATTAACTTGGGCAAAGAGTAATATAGGGTTCAAAGTGCGACAGAAGCACCAAGAATCATTACTGACTCAAAGTCCCTCGTGTGTGGCAAAAGCCAGTGATGGGAAATTTAATATTTAATTCCTTGACTTTGTTTTTTTGGTATAATACCTCAACAGTACAACAGCCAACCAAAGTCTTCAACAGCGGAGGCGCAAGGTAAACCACAACGTACTAGAATATACTTTACTGGAGATTTATGTGCAGGTTAACATGTGTGATTCAATATACAAAGACACAATAGAAAACTTGACATTTAGGTTGGATCCTCAGGGCTGGACTAGGGTCAGGCACACCAGCAGCAAAATTTAAGGGAGAGCCAAAAAACTCAGTCATCAAGATGAATAATAGTTTAACGAATATTTTTAAGACTCAAAATTAATATTTAAAAATCCATGATGAACAAAACATTACATTTTAAAAAGAATTTTAAAGATGTGCCGTGCCGAACACACAAGAGCCAGGGGCAAAAGAAAAAGAATCAATAATATCCATCCTGCCTTTATTTAAAATTTCGATCTTTTGTTCGCCGTGGATATTTTGCATTAATTCTGAGTTTTTTAAGTATTGCATAAAAATATAACTCATCTGGATTCCTGAGATTTTGGGCGCCCCCTTATATTTCTCATCTAGGAGCATCCCTTGCTCAGCTCACTCCAGTCCCAGCCCTCGGGGTCAGTGCCAGTTCCTAGAAAGGCTATGGGAACACACCGGGCGGCCTGGGGGACAGGTGCTGCGGCGGGACTGGACGCCCCCAGGGAAGGGCTGGAGGCAGGAGGGCGAGAGCTCAGCCTGGGGCCGGACCCCGAGCCTACCTCGCTTGTTCTGCGTGCCGTGCCTCTTGGCCAGGCTGAGTTCCCTCTGGATCCGACTCTCCAGGTACTCCTGTTTCTTGCCCAGCATCTCCTCCGTCTCCCGAAGCCGGGCCAGGGCCTCCTGGGGGCTGGGAGCCGCTCGGCTCTTGGAAGAGCCTCCCCCTTTGAAGAACTTGCCCAGCTTGCTCATGGCTGTGAGCGGGCGGCTCGGGGGCCCCGGGGCCGCGCCTGGGGAACAGGGGAGCAGGGGAGCAGGGGAGCGAGAGCGGCCTCCGGTCTCGGGGGCTCCGACCCGAGAGGCGGCGCTCCTGGGACTCAACAAGGCGTCGGGGCAGGTGACACACACTCCTGGGCATTTCCTGGCGGCCGGCTGGGCCCCGCCCCTCGGCGCGGCTGGGGCGGGGAGGACACTGGAGTCGGAGGTGGCCGGCCGGCGCCACCCGAGCCTCCCTCGGGGAGTTGAAGGAGAGCAGGGAACAGAGTTGAGAAGACCCACAAGACTGAGGCAAAGTTGCTGCCTTGTCCCCGCTGGGGATGCACCCAGGGCTGAAGACCTGGTTTGTGCATGGCTCAGAGAAAGCAAACGATGTTCCAGGCGTCTCGTGCGGGGCCTGGGAGCGTGTGGATAATAAGTGCGCTTTGCCTACCCAGATAAACGAAGTGCTTTATTCCATAGGTGTTTTTCTTTGCGAGTGTGAGTGAGCACAGTGTTCCTGTGTTCTGGTCTCCGTCCTTGTGCAAAGGAATATTCAGATGTGTTCGTCTAGGTGTATGTCGTGTGGGTATGAGTGCAGGGGCATGGGCTTCCAGGACATCTGTCTGCCACTACGATGGAGGTACTGGGCAAGTGGCTTCCTCTAGGAGCAGCTTGTCTCTGCACATGTAGAATCTGGGCAGGTTGATGTGTACCTGGCTGCCAGTTGGTGTGGGTCAATTCTAGATCATCCTTACATGGCCGTAAGTGGATGAAAGATGGTGGTCATCTCTTCTCCTGATGTAGGGATTTCTGAGTGTGTTTGGTGGTTGCATTCAGTTCTGCAAGTAGGACTCTGAAGCATCAGTGTGATTGCCAGTGTATCGAAAACCTTTCACGGGGCGCCTTGTGTTTGGATCTATGTCTAATGCCTTTACAGAGACATCTAGGTAACAAGAAGGAGAGAATGTCCTAGAGAAAGGAAACGTTCTTTTGTTCATGCTCACTATCTCAGTCCCATCTATTAGACCCACAAGTAAAGAGTTTGGTAAATGAAGGGACAGCAGAATATAATGATTATGGATGATGCAATACAACTGAAAACTTATGCTGAGCACGCTACAAAGAAGTAGAATGTGGAATTGGGTTTATATTCTAGATTTCAAGGGCTAGTATATGCCCCATGTAGTACAGCCCTATTTGAGCAACATTACCCAACATCACCAGAACCTATTTGTGATCTTTAGCTAACCACTTATTGTTAAAGGAGAAAGAAAGCACCATTACTATGACAAATACACTTTGATACTCGAGATCAATAACCCAATTTTGTCTGCTGTTACGCTAACACAGAAGCCAGGTTGATCCATTTTATCCAACATTGGTATAGTCAGCATCAAATTATGACAGAGAAATTGAACATTTTCATAGAAGGCTTACTAGTATATATCTTACACACACAAACATGTGAACTTATCATTTCCCAATAACTACAGCTGGCCACCTCTTATCATTTCCTGCCTGGATATCCAAAGCACTTTACACATATTTTGCTCTAATCTTGTATGATTGTAAACTATCATAAGTATGGTATTTCATTATTATCTAAATATTTCATGCATCTGTTTTGAAACTTATTTTCTACCTTAGGTTATAAGCCCCTTGAGAGTTGAGAAGTAGCACATATTCTGCTATGGTTCCTATTGCTGGTCAGTTTAACCAACCTTTATTGAGAGTATTCTATACAGAAGGTACTGGGAATGCAAGTATAGTCTGCCCTCTAGGAACTTATCTGCTAGTGGTAATAGTAAGAGCTGCCATCTTTTGAGCACCTACCATGTGGCAAGCACACTACATGCACTATTAATAATCTCTACATAAACTGCACAAAATAGGTATTGCTATTTCTATTCGACAGGTGAAGAACCCAAGGCTCAACTGGCAACTTGGCCAAGATCACACAGGCAGTCCAAGTGGAAGAAGTCTTTCGGTTTTAAAAGTTATGGTCCTTTCACTATTTACATGACCTTCTTTCCCTCTGTGTGGCTTGGTCCAGAGGAGAAATCCATTAAGTATTTAATTAAGTAATGTGGGGGTGAAGAGACTGGTATGAGGCATTAACTTTAAGGGATCCTACAAGCATTATTGAATTTATGGAGGGGTACATTTAAGTAAGAACTTCTCCAGTGTAGTAAAACATTCCTTTGTGGTTCACTAACCACTGTTTTTTGTTGGGAGAACGTTGAACAAGTGGAACAGAGGGACTGAAAGTTATAATGAGGAGTTGCTTAACCATCCATCCATCCATATTTTTATTCAACAGATGTTTTTTGAGCATCTCTATGTTCCAGGCATTATGCTAGATGTTGGGGAGATGATTCAGAACAAGGTAGAGACATTTTACAGTTTAGAGAAGAATACAGGAGTTAAGCAAATTATCTCACAAATAATGGACTTTATAAGTTAAAGTTCTAATAAGTTCTATGGAGAGCTTAGAAGTACAGAGAACTATAAGAACAAATAATAGAGAAATCTGATCTTGTCTTAGGAGTCAAAAAAAGGTGACCTGAGAAAATGACATTCAAGCTGGAATTTGAATGATGAGTAGAAGTCACCTAGGTTTAGAGAAGGAAAATTGGTATTCCAGGGTAAGTAATCATTCATTCATTCATTCATTCGTTTATCCATCATGTTTTCTGAGTACATGCTTTATACCCAACACAAATCTAGATGCTGGAGATTCAGCAATAAAGAAAGACTAAAACCCATGCATTTTTGGAGTCTTCTTTCTAGTTAGGGGAAGACAGACAATTAGTTAATTAAGTAATGTACTATACGGTTATATGGAGAAAATAAAGCAGGTAGTTTTAGAGAATTGAAATTGTAGACAATATGTGCAAAACTCTTAAGTCTGAAGTATTCGAGTTTGAAAGAAGACCAGGGTGGCTGGAATTGGAGACAGAAGAGGAGAGAGCTGAGAGATTGCCTTTAAAGGTAGGCAGAGTCCAGATTGCACATGGTCCACATGATGTGCTAAGGATCTTGTATTTTATCCGAAGAGAGAATGAAAATCAACCAGAAATTAAAACAGAGGATTTAGCCATTAATTTATAATTCAGTGGAAGAAAATCAATTTTACCCAATTTAATGTGTAGCACTTTTGGAAGCACATGCGGCGTGCAAAGCAAGATACATTTGAATTAAAAATCATTTCCTTCCATTAATACATAACCTCAACAGGGGAAAGATAATACTTGCAAGCAAGAAAACCATCCAAATATATATCAGTGTTTAATCCAGCAATGGGATATAGAGAATAAAGTTTTAAATCAATGATGTAGAAGCTGAAAATAACACATTAATCTTCATTCAATACTCATCCTACAAATGTGGTTTCATAAAGAGTTCTCAGCATCTAGTGTATTTTTCATTTTCTAATCTCGATTGATCTCAGCTAATAAGGAGGCTGTTGTTCAAAAGAATGATCTTGTTCAGGATGATTTACCGTGGTTAAGATGGCAAAGGAAATTGGAAATTTATAGATCTGTTAAAAAGACCTAGATGTCAGCCTAATTGATACATTTTGGCCACCCCTTGAAATTACATCCATTTTCAGAATGCCAAATGAACTCTCTAAAGCAACAGAAGAAGAATTACCCTTTAAACATACTGCAGAATCATCATCGAATAGTTATTTATTAAGCAGCTCAACAAGCATGTGCACATTCTTTTCATCAGCAGTTCTTTTTGTTTCTTAGAGCCGAATACTCATTGTATATAACACTCAATCACCATAATGAGTATGAAAGTAGCCATTATGAAAAATAATAATTTGGCAAAAATAAGTTTTATTGCCCTAATTTGTAATGAAGATATATGGTGCCTGTGACTGAGTTTTGCCTGCTTAGCTCTTTATCCATGTTTTCTCATATCTCTGTCCCTCCCTAATCAGAAAGAACTTAAAGAATCTAAGGGTTATCAGATTTGGCTGTAAAATGTTTTCTACACCAATCACTTACTGGATATAAAGTGGGATGTACCTCAATATCTACCTCAATATCATTCCTACTGCATAACTTACCCAAAGTTGATTCTTACACCTTCCTTTACCTCCAGAATTTTGTTATACCTGAGTACAATCACATGAAATTTTGTACCTAAGCGAGGAACACACAAATTGTCTCCAGTCCAGCTCCCTCTCTTCTCAGTTGATGATAATTATAAAATTCCTTTTACTCAGGCCAAAAACCTGACACCTTGACACCTCTCTTTCTCACCCCACATCCAACCCATCAGCAAGCCCCATGTGCTCTGATTACACTCGCCACCACCAACACTGCTAATACCCTGCTCCAAGCCACTGTCATCTCTCATGGGTCAAAACCCACCATTGACTCCCCACATCACTCCAATAAAAAGCCAAGGTCTTCACAAATGTCTTCAAGCCCCTACATGAAGTGCTACCGACCCGCACCCTCACTTCGCTGGTACTTTCCTGTCCGCATTGCCTCCATTCCCCCCGGTCCACTCTGCTCCAGCCACGCTGGCCTTCCCACTCTAGCTAGGATGCCCCAGCACACTCACCGCACAGCATTTGCACTGGCTGCTCTTCTGTCTAGAAACCTGTCCCCAGACATCCATTTTATTCACTCCTTCACCTTCTTAGGTCTTTATTTAAGTGTCACTTTCTCATCCTATTTAAAATTGCATCCCTCTCTCCTCATCCGCTTTCCCCCACAGAACTCCTATTCCCTTTCCCAGCTTTATTGTTCTTCTTAGCACTTACCGCCATCTATCATATGCTGTTTGGGTTTGTTATTCTGTTTGTTTTCCATGCCCCTTCCGCACTAGAATGCTTCCCATGAGAGCAGGGATTTTTTGTTTGTCGTGTTCACCAGTGTATTCCCAGGTCCTAGAACAGACCCTGGCACATCATAGGCACTCTGTCAATATTTGTTGAATAAACAAATGAATGAATGAAGAAATACACATAAGTGATAAAATATTCAAATGATGGTATAAAATATGAAAATACTGGGAAACAGATCCAGCAATCTGTGTCATCATTCTGACACAGAAGAGACATCTATGCTTCTAAATCTCTGAGACCAGTATGCAAATATTCTCACAAAATTTCTGGTCATCTTACCTGGGGCAAAGGATAAAACTCTGGACAAATGT